GGGGGGGGGGGGAGGAAAGGGGGAGAAGGAGAGGAAGGGCGAGTATAAGGAGAATAGTGAAACAGAACTGACACAAAAATTAGCCGATCTATATTAGTACAATGTTGCGGTAAAAATTGCGGAAAGGATCAGCGTTGTGACTTGTCGAAAGAGAGAGAGAGAGATTAACACGTGCGCGTGCACACACACACACACACACTCACACAGATACACATACGACACTTTCCGCGTTTGTTTCCAAGTATGATGCGACGATAGGCGCATTGCGTTATCGCTTGTATCAGACTACGGATTGGAAACTAAAGGTTGTGGATTGAACTTGACCAATTAAAACAAAGTAAGCCAAGACCGAGGTTTGTTCATCCGTCAAAATCTAATCTTCAATCTACAATCCTTAACTTTCAATCCTTAGTCTGATACGGTCTTTACGTATCTTCATTGTCGAATTACGTTCGCGAACGAGGAGGTTTGTTAGAGGCGCGGGGCCGATGGAGGAGATGTTCATGGCCACGTATGTAAACCGGTGCGACAGAAGGGGAGAATTACGGTTGTAACACGTAGTTAAGCAGCATAGTCTGAGAAACGATCGAACAGCGGTGTAATGATAATGATTTGGAGCTCGATGTGATAATACTTATGTGCCAAATAGCGTTTTCGCGGGCGGGGGCTTCAAAGCCCCTAGTTCCGAGTCGCCTCGTTGGCTCGACGTGAAACGAATTTTTGCGTCTCCTCTTTTTTCACTTCCTCTATTTTTTTCTTTTTGTTATTTATAATCAGTGCAATTATATACACGGTACCTAATATAATTTTATAAAGAGAGCCAGTATCCTCAATATATATCTGCACCTGTTTCGTTGGGGCTCGATAGGTGTCAGATTAGGATAGCTTAATGTTGATAATAATTTATTTTATGTATATAATGGATTTGTACAATGTATGTCGGGGATAATTATCGATTACGCGCGGTCTGACGCGAGCGTCAATATTATTAATGTACAGTGTAACTATAATGTGATGTATCTACACACACACACACACACACACACACACACACACACACACACACACACACACACACACACACACACACACACACACACACACACACAAACAAACAAACAAACAAACACACACACACACACACACAAACAAACAAACAAACACACACACACGTATGCGTGCGTGCGTGTGTGTGTGTATATATATATATAGCTACGTTATTGTATGTAATTACTCGAAGTACATAGGTTAACAATGTTAAACGCGATATTCTTATTTTTATTGTCATTATTATCTTTATTATGATGACGATAATTATTATTACTATTAATGGCGTTGTCATTATTATAATTATAATTATAATAATAATTATTACTATTATTATTATTTTATTATTATAAATATTATTATTATTATTATTATTATTATTGTCATCATCATTATAAATATTACAGTTATTACTATCATCGTTATTACTTAGTACTATTATTTAAGTAATTCGCCTTATTATTTTTAGTAGCAAAAAAAGGTTGTACGTGCCAGTTGAGACAAGAACGGCAAGTAGAAGTTTGTTGATCGTTTATACTCGAATACTCAACTAAATTTTCATGTCGTATCGCGTCTATGTAACGCGTCTTTCCTTTGCCCGAAACAGTTTATCGTTATCACATTTGTCACTATGGTTATTTCAGAATACCTTATGCGTTAATTTCAGAGAGTTATACATCCTTCAGAGATAAAGCTTTCTAAAGCCTTTATTTTCATTTTTTTATATATTACATGTGTGAAAACTTGTCTTTAGATTAATCTTTTACCACCAGTTAGATCTTCGAAAATAAGTTACAAAAAAATTGAATTTTCTTTCCTTAACTTCGCCGTTAGACGATAGCAATTAACAGAAACGTTAAATATTTCGAGTAAAAGATCTGCCTGTCTTGCATTTTTTTTATTGTGCCATACTCGCAACTACCGGAAAATTTAATCATTTATGTTTACAAAATTACACCGAATTAAACTATCTAACCTAATCTAATAATATAAATCGCGCATGTAATAAAGTCCGGCCCGCGTTTCTCATTTCAAAAACCCATCGGCCTTAACTTATTTGTAATACTTATTCGTCTGTTCTAACGAAAATCGGTTCTGCATTCCATCGATTGCGACTTTTATCTATCTAATCACTGAAATTAGCAACAATATTTAGTCCGTGGCGATCTCCTTACTTTCGGATATCACAAACGTTACGCGATATAATCTCAGCACACAGTTATTATATTTACTGGCCTTTACATGCAACCAATGCGAATGCAAACTGTAAGAATAGTAAATTGTAAATCGAATTACGCTACTAATATTATAGTATATTTAACATAAGAAAATGAACACACTAACATCCACTCTCAATATTCCAAGCATTCACTTCATTTACATGTACGTTGTTGTTAATGGTATAAAAAAATATATAATAAAATAACGCTTTACCGAAATTCAATCTTAGTTTTAGGTATACGACACTATTTCTAGCTGAAACTTGTACGTACAAGGAATGTGTACATAGTTGCGCAATATCGTTGCAAATAAAATAGAGAGAGAGAGAGAGAGAGAGAGAAAGCGCGAGCGAGAAAGAGAGAGAGAGTATAAAAAACAGTCAGACGCAAGTGTGAGTAAAATAAAATTCTCGCAATCATCTTAACACTACTCGTATCGTGATCGTATTACACACTATTGGTATCAATAGCATAAAATCAAAAAAATATATATGTATATTTAGGATGATGGATAAACTACTTATATAATGCTACTCTGAAGTTTATTTATTGATATGCATCCTCATAACGGGATAATGTCCGTTTTCATCGCGGCAGTGTTAAGATGAGCGTATAAAAGCATACAGTAGAACAAAGGAAAAGTCATACTTCGGAACATGAATTGTGCAGTATAATTACCTAAAAATGTAGCACTTGCACTTACCGCTAATAAAATGTTATATCGAAGAATATACAATGACATTTTTATTGAGTATATAATTCAAAAAAACTTTAAATAGAAATATTAAGAACACATTATCAGCTGGCTGTGAACCATGTGACTAACTCTCTTAGCTCATGTTTTATTTTATGACAGAAAGCATATATTTGCATAATCAAAATATACGAATAAACATTAATAAATTATAATTTTTTTATTTATTTACGTTTATATGATCCAAGATGACTTTTCCTCATAGATAGAGACATCAAATGCACTGTATTACAATAGAAAACAGCACTATTATATAAACACATTCACTCATCCATCCACCCACACACACACACACACACGCGCGCAAACATACATATATATACATATATTTATATATGTATATATTTGTGTGTGTATATATATATATGATTATATTTATTACAATAATTTGAAACATAGGTAACTCTTTGTTGTTTGTATTTTACAAGCATAATCATTATTACACATAAATAAATATCTATATAAATAAAGAAATGCAAGAGTGTCAGTCTTGCATCCACCTACCTTATGAAGAGGAAAGAACGTTTAATAGAGAAAAATTAAAACATTATTGTATCAATTATTTATTCAATGATGATAAAGTTGATACATATGTAGCAAAAACAAGGTTTCATCTACCAGCAATTCTGCCGCGCTCAATTTCTTTATTGACTTTTCTATTTTTTTCAGTTGTTGTTTCTCAGATGGTGTCATCATCTCTTCAATCTATAAAAAAGTATTTTTTATATATTTAATCATTATTTAGTTTGTTGTTGTTTATGTATGATATATATAGGATGTTGAGAAATAACATGACACAAATTTATCTACGTGTTCCTCAGACAATTCTAAGAACAAAAGTTCATATAAACATGTGTCCGAAACGACTTAGTTTTTGAGATAGAGGGCTTTGACAATTGCAATTTTTTTTTAACAATATAATAATAATAAATAATAATAATGAATTGTCTTAAAAACATTGAATTTTTAAAATCTGGTATTCAAACAGAATTTTTTTTCTTTTTACAAAGATAGGGTTAAAACTACTCCACGCTTTTTTTATTATCCTTATTTCTAGTTTTCATTCAAAAACTTTTTTGGCATTTTCAGAAAGGGTTTACTTAAGCACAGACATGTGTCAAATTTCATTTAATTATTGTCATTAGTTTCCAAGTTATTATCGTTAAAAAAATATATATATATATGTGTGTATGTGTGTGTGTATATATATATATACAGGATGTCCCGCCACTATCACATTATCTCTTAAGGACGGATTCTTGAGGTAATTTAAAGAAAAAATCCTAATGCAAAATTGTCGAGACTATAATACTTTTCAAATTATAAACGATTAAAGTTGACCAATTATATTGGTTAAAATACGCGCGCTCAGGTATGGTACAACATACAATGATACAGGTGCGTACACATAAGTGAGAATTTGCATAAGATATGAAATTAGTTTAAAATCTCTGAAAGAAACGTCAAATGTGTGACAGCTTATTGATTCTCATAAATATATTGTATGATATTTTATTCATAACATTTTGACGAAATTGTTGTTATTTGCGATATGTTTATTTAAATAATAGAAAAGCCAGATATTTATTACATATGTTGTTGTATGTATGGAACTTTTGTACCAATATTTGGAAAAGGGACATGTGTTTGCACCTGTACCTTTGTGTGTTGTACCGTACCTCAGCGCGCGTACTTTAGCCAGTATAATTGGTCAACTTTAATCGTTTATATTTGAAAAGTATTATAGCCACGCCATTTTTGCATTAGGATTTTTTTAATTCAAATTACCTCAGGAATTCGTCCTTAAAAGATAATGCAATAGTGGCGGGACACTATATATATACAATACACACACATACACACACACATAGAGTATTCCATTTTAAAAGATGCACCTTGATAATTCTTCAGCCAAGCATATTCAGCAAAAATATTTCAGACAAAAGTTGTCGGGTTCAGAGGAGGACATCTGAAGGTGACCTTGAATTCGACCTTGGAGGTCATTTTGAAGGTTATTCGAAGGTCAACTTTGCTTTTTAAATAGAAACATCTATTTCTTATTACGGAATTTTATTCTATGTAAAAAACTAACAACTTCAAAATTTTTTATAAACTTTTTAGTACTTCAAAAAAAATGCAAGAAAATACAGTATTAAGAAGTTAATTAAAAAATTTTGAAAAAATTTTCAGAACTCTATGAGGAGAAAATAAATAATTTTTATCTCTTGTTATTTTCCGGTAAAGTTGATAGAATTCGAGTAAACAATTATTAAAACCAATAATTTTGTAGATATTTTCGTAAATATCTTAGAAAATAGAGGTCGTATAAAAATTGTTTTCAAACAAAAGTTGTTAGTTTCTTTACGTAGAATAAAACTCCATAATAAAAAATAGATGTTTCTACTTAAAAAGCAAAGTTGATCTTCGAATAACTTTCAAAATGATCTCGGAAGTCAAAGTCAAGGTCACCTTCAGATATCCCCCTTTAAACCCGACAACTTTTATTTAAAATATTTTTGCTGAATATGCTTGGCTGAAGAATTATCAGGATTTTTTAAATCTTTTAAAATGGGACACCTTGTAAATGCATGTATGTATGTATATATATATACTTACATCTGCTAATTGTTCTTCTGTAGCACCCTGCTCTTTCATATTACTAGAGACTATCTCTACTCTCAATTGTTTATCTATCATACGTTTATTACTAATTGACTCATGCTCTCGTCTTTGTATCATATTATGCAAGGCATGATAACATTGTTCGATGTGCATTTGAACAACTTGATTCAGATTTATGTAATATAGATAAAATGTTTTTAATGGTCCTGCTGAAACACCGCTTTTCTTCAATTCTTGTATTTGTATATAATTTTCTAGCGCCAAAATATATGTTAATTGTTTAACTTGCTTCACTGGCATCATTGCATACTGCAGGACTTGCTCTAATTCAACAGAAATTTTATGTCGTATTAATCTGAAATCATAGAAAAATCGAAGGTTACAAGCAGAGAATTATATATTTTTTATAATTAAACGCAACTTTTTGAAAATCGAGCATTTGTACCGTTACCTAAAAATTCTGGCAGTTTGACTATTAAATTTCTCTGTTATGATATTTTCCAAAGTTGTCCACGCTAATTGATTGAAAGCATTCTTCATGTTAATCCTATATTGTCCTCCACCAGAATCACCAGTTCGCACAATAAAGTGACTACTATCTTCTTCTATGAGATGCAAGTACTGTTCAAGATATTGCTCAAGCTCTGGATAATTCAATTTCTTCACTGCATCCTTTATCTCAGTGTATGGAATTGGATTTGACGTGTCTTCCCAAGATGCAGTGCGTAAATACATCAGATTAATCAACTGTCTCATTAATTCCCCAGCATTTTTATCTTCAAATCTTCGAGTTACAGCTGATACAAGAATTTGATCCCTATTTATTATATATACATGATTAATAATTCTTAATACATAATTTTAATATCTTTAGAATGAATAAACATAACTCAAATCCATTTTACTTTATTAAACAATTAATAAGGAACATTTGATGTAATCATTTTTTACAAATATCGTCTTTTATTTTTCTTACTAATTGGAAATATAATTCAAAGCACACATGATATGTATCGTATATAATTGAAATATCATTACATTATTATAACAGTTGTCTCTCATTGGTTGACAAATAAAATACTAAAGAAATATACGAGCTATATTTATTTATTCTATAGACGTTTAAGTTTTTTCATGTATCAGAATTGGTCAGAATTCATATGGATATTCTGTACTATGGAATAGTCTTAGGAATAGTCAAAAATTATATACATCATTTACACACACACACACACACACACATATGGGTGTCCCATTTAAAAAAATGCACTCTGATCATTCTTCAGCCACGCATATTCAGCAAAAATGTTTCAGACAAAAGTTGTCGGATTTAGAAGGGAATATTTGAAGATGACCTTGACTTTGATCTTGGAGGTCATTTTGAAGATTATTCGAAAGTGAACTTTGCTTTTTAAGGCTCCTATGCTGGGATTCTGTAACTCGTTATTGGAGTTAACGACAGTTTCGTTATCGTTGCGCAGCTTTTGTATACCGTAGAAAAGCTGCGCAACGATAACGAAACTGTCGTTAACTCCAATAACGAGTTACAGAATCCCAGTACAGGAGCCTTAAATAGAAACATCAATTTTTTTATTACGGAATTTTATTCTACGTAAAGAAACTAACAATCTTTGTTTGGAAAAAATTTTTATACGACTTCTATTTCCGTAAATATCATAGAAAATAGAAGTCATATAAAAATTTTTATTGAATATGCTTGACTGAAGAATTATTAGGATCCATCTTTTAAAATGGGACACTCTATATATATATATATATATATATATATATATGTGTGTGTGTGTGTGTGTGTGTGTGTGTGTGTGTGTGTGTATCAGACAAAATTTACTTGTTTTTGCCATAGAATCCAAATATGTAACATCGTATAGGAGATTCCATTTGAAACTTTGAAGTTACCCCCTTCTTCAAAGGAAGCGGATTTTTGTTTATGTAGTTAGAAAGACCTCTCGAATATATGAAACTTTCTCATGAACAACTTTTTGATAGGACAAATATGTTTAGAGTTATTAGCTTGTAACACTTTACATGGGCCACCCTGTATATGCTAGGAGTATTCAGCTTTGCGAGATGTGCTCTACTTTCACATGTAATATTATGTGTCTTGCATCAGACACCCTATATACTGGGAATTCTTACCTAAGATCTTGAGTAAATCGGTCAATATTGACTTTCCAATATATTTGTCTATCTCCAGGATCACCTTCTTTATCTTGCAGTAAATTAGAGATGGCTTTTAAATTAAGACTCGGTAAATTATAATCAGGTTTTGTCACATCTTCTAGCATTGTGTCAAAAGAAAGACTACGCATTAAAAATTGGTTTTTAACCAATAATTCAAATGTGTCCTTTAAATTTGGAATAGAAGGTTCTTCAGATGCTGAAAGTATATAAATATATATAAAGTATTGTTTAATTTTTTTATTAAAAAATTTTTCGTTTTATATAAACTCTCTAATGTACATGCTCATACACCTTATACAGATATTATTATGTTATACAATACAGCAATAAATTTTTAATGAAAGAGAACAGAAATATATCTGAAAATGATATAATGTAAAATTATATACTTACAAGGAGATTCCTGAATTCTTCTGTATGTTTTTATTATCAAATCAGATGCTTTGATATATCCATGTTTCAAGATTTCTTCCAGCATGATCTGACTTTCATTTCCACAACAAGTTCTCACAAGAAATATATATCTACAATAAATATTGTACAATAGATCGCAAAATGATTAAACACAATGAATTTCAAATCGTAGTTAATGATCCAATAAGAGAAAAAATTATTAAAAAATAAATTCTCTTATGGAACCATTGGTTATGCTCTGAAGTTCATTGTGTCTAAATTTTTCAACCTACTGTGTGTACATATAATATACAAGTATAAATATTGTATATGTAGATTGTACAAATATTATATGACAGATTGTTTCCAAACAATTAATAAGATGTTACATAAGTCTGTAAGATTTTATTAGAAAATCATAGTAACAGAAAAAAAAACAATAATATTAGTACAATTGTTTGATTTAGAATATTTTGTACATGCATTTAATATTTCTAATATCAGATGAATTTTTATCATAGTCAGTATAAAAATTTATTCTAAATAATATACAAAAATACCTTGGATAACGGAGTAATGCAATAATCTTTTTGTAATCTATTGTGTATAGAGTAGTCCTTTGGTGAACATGAAAAGTGACAAAACCATGGACCATAAGGATATGTAGGCCATCTTTTACCTAAAAATGATTCCAAATGTATATGTAAACAAGATTTAAATAAGAGCTTTGGACATATAACATATAACACAAAATTTGTTCTGTTTAATTGAACTAGGTTGCATATTTTACCTTTTATATAAAATAAGCTTATAATATAATGTTGAGAGAAAAAGGAAAAGGTTTCAACTAATTCAATGAAATAAGAAGAATAGGCCTAAAATTCTTATTGTGAATTCTCTTTTATTGATAAAAATGCCTCTAAAAGTAACTCATAAACTTTCTGAATGGCTCTATAAATCAATTTTAGAAACACTTTTATCAATAAAAGAAAGTTGAGGATAAAGGCCTAATAATATCCAGTTTGTTATATAACATTTATTACTTACTATACCTTTGCAAGTGGTAGATTTACTGCAGACAGTATCTGTTGTAATGATCTCCTGCCATTACTGATCAAATGAGTGCCTATACGCTGTACAATGGGTCCAAAATGTTCTTCTAACAACAATGAGCACAATTTATTGTAAATCAGCGACATATTCTCTTACATATATTCTCTTCATAGTATGGTTACCAAACTAGATGGCCAAACCTGCGTAGGTGGATTCTAAACAGAAACATAATTTTTTTTTATTTCAGAAAGGCTACAAAAATCACACAGAATTTATTCTATTTGATGATGCTGCAAATTTTGCTGATATACTATATCAGTAGATTAACAATGAAAACTAAGCAGATCCTGTAGAAGTCTGATGGCAGATTGACAGCAGAAACCAAACAGATCTCTGCTAAATATAATTTAGTAGAATTTGCTCAGTTTCTGCTATTAATTTGTCATCAAATCAACAGGCCCTGTTATCAAAACACAAACTTAATGTGGATATAGATGGCTATTATTTTGTTATAAGATTCTGATGAAATTTACTGTCAATCAACCAGCATATTAACATTTTGCTTATTACGGTAAAATATCTTTTCTGAGGAAATTTTATTTATATATATTTATAATATATGTAAACTTTAGGTATTGAGTAAAATTTTCGTCAAAAAGGATATTTTGGAATGCAACCTAAGCATATTATACTTTATGTTTTTATATGCTCGATGTTTCCTTTCAATTGCTTTTCATTTGTATGTTCCAATTTGCTAAGTTTTGCAATGTATTATTGGATGTACTTCTCATCTTTTCACTTAAACACTTTAAAATACAATTTTACCCTCTGTTGACAACGTTGGGGTTGAATCTGATCCCAAACACACGTTGCTGGACGTGTTCCGCACTTCACGTTGTCAGCAGAAGATTAAGTACAAACATATTTAAAACAACGTATAGGTTATGATCCACACACACATTCTCTCTCTCTCTTCCCCCTCTCTCTCTCTCTTCCCCCTCGCTCTCTCTCTCTCTCAATATGGCTTCAGGCAACCAAAAGGCGTACCCTCAACACCACTCAACGTAAAAAACTCTCTCTCTCTTCCCTTTATTTTAGACTTAACTTTAAGCCCTTTCTACAATTGCGTAAGCGTAGCGTGAACGTAAGAGTCAACCAATCCGAATGTTTTATTCACTGATTGCTTTACTCTGATTGGTTGTCGTAATCACTTACAACCACTTACATCCACGTTTACGCAATTGTAGAATGGGCTTTAAAGGGACGTCTACATTGGAAGTAAACAGTAAGAAGTAGGAAGTAAGAATAAGAAATTTACCAATCATAGTTAATTATTCTTCTCACATTCGACTGTGGTTGGTCAATTTCTTACTCTTACTTCCTACTTTTTGCTATTTACTTCAAATGTAGACGTCCCTTCAGACTTTTTTCATTAGCCCTTTCAACCAAAATACCGAAGTACAGGTTCCAAAAAAATCTGGTCCGACGTGTTCTAATATGTCCAAGGATGCGTTCAGATTCCTCATCCGGGTGCTCTCTATTACTAGAAACACTATTGGTATTTCCGAAATGTCCAGGGTTGGGTCAAGTTGAGTTAGTTCCATTAAAGTATCAGTTACATATACTATAGTGGAACTAACTCAACTCGACCCAACTCTGGATATTTCGTAAGCACCATATAGTATATAGGTTTGTTCGAGTTGCTTGTACCTTTCACACTTTTACACCTAATGCCCGTTGCACACTAGTGCACTCCAAACAACACAAGTTTTCAAAAATATATTCTGAAGACGTTTTCAGGACGGAGAGACGTCATCAGAGAGTCAATTCTGTATCTCAAAACAAAGTGAAAATTACAAAAGTGAGTACATTCACTAGGCACTGACCAATGAAATTACGAATTCTAGTATATTTGCTCACTTTTATAATTTTCACTTCGTTTCGAGGTACAGAATCGACTCTCAGAATATTCTTAGGACGTCCTTTGAAAGTGTGAATTATCTGAAAAAAGCTAATATCCAATAAATTTATTCATATTAATTGAATGTTTTACACTTTCACACTTAGTGCACATTAATTCTTTAAAGGTTCTAAAAATGGCGTCATATTTTCCGTTCGTGTTCAGACTATAGATTAGGATTGAGATTGAATTGAAAATTGGCCAATCAGAGCAAAGTTCACCAAACTTGAGCTTAGTGAATTTTGCTCTGATTGGCTAAATTTCAATTCAATCTCAATTCTAATCTATAGTCTGATACGGGTTTTACGAGTGTAAATGCAATTCTAATACACTTTTCACCCTTGCTTGGGATTAAGGGTAAAAAGTGTATCAAAATTGCAATTACACTCGTAACACGAACGGAACTCATGACGTCATTTTTAGAACCTCTAAAGAATTAATGTTCACTAAGTATGAAAGTGTAAAAAGTTCAATTAATGCAAATAAACTTATTGGATATTAGCTATTTTCAGACAGCTCACATCTTCAAAGGACATCCTAAAAATATTCTGATGACATCCCTCCGTCCTAAAAGCATCTTCAGAACGTATTTTGGAAAATTTGTATTGTATGAGGTGCACTAGTGTACAACGGACATTAGGTGTAAAAGTGTGAATAGTACAAGCAACTCGAACAAACCTTATATCACATATACTATAGCACTTCTAGTAATAGAATACACCCGGGTGGGGAATCTGAACGCAGCCCAAACTAAAGATGCCCGATTCTTATGGCTTCTGCACACAGAACGCGGTAATGCTTGCCGCGCGGCGGAAGTTTACGCGACAGCCAATCAATATGTTGTTTTTTCATAAGAGCTAGAAGGTTATTACGGAAAGCAGCATATTGATTGGCTGTCGTGCGAACTTTCGCCGCACGGCAGGCATTACCTCGTCCTGTGTGCAGGAGCCATTAATCGATTCGATTCTTTCCCTAACAAATTTAGGGAAAAAGGGTTGTTCGTGCTGCTTGGATGTTTCATACTTTTTGCTTTTAAAAAGAGATGGACGCCTAATCAGACGCTTGGAAGAAACAATCGAGTTGGTTGTCTCGTTTTTGCTTCTTCGAAACATTCCAATATACTTCTGTCTAGTTTTAAATACGAAAAGTGCGAAGAGTGCAGACAACACGAATAAGCCTATTTTTGGGGAAAGAATCGAATCGATTCAGAATCGAGCATCTCTAGTCCAAACGTAACGGCGGTTAGGCCGGAACTAGGTTATCTTCTTCTTCTTCACTATATTTTACTTGGCTTGCAGACTTTCTCAAATAGCCCTTTCTACCAAGGTATCGAAGTTTTAAAGAAATATCAGGTCCGAACTTCTTAGGACATGTCTAATCGTAACGGCGGTTAGGTCGGAACTGGAACTAGAGACGTTTTTTCGTTTCGTAATCACGGTAGCGTTTGGTTGGTTAGTTTGATCCACTTAACGCTTGCAACGCCGCGAGCGTCATTCTATCAATGGGTGTTTACGACAATTAAGGGACGTCTACATTGGAAATAAATAACAAGAAGTAGGAAGTAAGAGTAAGAAATTGACCAACCACAGTCGAATGTGAGAAGAATAATCAACTATGATTGGTCAATTTCTTATTCTTACTTCCTACTTCTTACTGCTTACTTCCAATGTAGACGTCCCTTTAGAGTTATGCTTCTGCACACAGGACGCGGTAATGGGCGCATTCAGTAGAAAAAGCGCTCAGTGAGCAATCAACGATTATTGGTTCTTGCTATTAGATCCCTAAATCTAGACCAATTACATTGACAAATTATTCAACTGTTGTGCAACTGTTGAGTCTGCTGAATGCAGCCAATGCTTGCCGTGTAGCGGAAGTCTGCGCGACAGCCAATCAATATGTTATTTTTCCGTAAGAGCTAGAAGGTTATTATGGAAAGTAGCATATTGATTGGCTATCGCGCGAACTTCCACCGCGCGACAAACATTACCGCGTCCTGTGTGTAAGAGCCATTAAGCCCATTCTACAATTGTGTAAGCGTAGTCGTGAACGTAAGAGTCAACCAATCCGAATGTTTTATTCACTGATTGCTTTACTCTAATTGGTTGTCGTAATCACTTACAACCACTTACATTCACGTTCACGCAATTGTAGAATGGGCTTTAGAGATAGGCTGCGTTCCGAAATTCACTACCAGTGCTGAAATTCTATAATATGACATGAATTATAGAATTTCAGTATTGGCAGTGAATTTCGGAACGCAGCCTTAGTTTCACTAGAGTGAAACTTTATGATAGGCAAAAAACGAAACTTAATGATAGCGAAAATTATGATAGGCACGACCATCTAGTACTTTTGCAGTTTATGACAGTTTCTTCTAACACAATGCTCTGGTTTACATGGTGCATTTGATACGCGTACTAAATAGTAACTTTCTATTAGATAATCTTAATATCGACGATATATATAAACAACGGTATATTAAGCTGGTATAATACTCATCAAAAAAATATATTGTATTGATTAAACGCGTCGACATTGATATGCATTGTCAATATTAAGATTATCTAATAGAAAGTTACTATTTCTGTTCTGTTCTGTTCTGTATTGGCTCCGGGGGAAAAAGTTATCCCCATACGCCATTCTCCAATTAGATATGAATGAGTAGGGCCTTGGTAGGTTCCAAAGGCAACTTCCAAAAATCACCGGTCTGAACACGTTCAAACACGTCTTAACATGCCGGCGGCGAAACTAAAAAGTTACTATTTAGTATGCGTATCAAGTGCACGATGGTTGCTTTCCAACAAGAGACACAAGTCGACACAAGTATCATCCTATCTTTGTTATTCACTAAATATGGAACAAAGATAGAATATTGTTT